TCTCTCAATACTATTGTTAATTTAAATTAACAATAGTATTGAGAGAATTCGTATTTATTGATGTTTTTATATTTTTAACATATATACTCTCATACAAGATGTCAACATTCAAATCATATATATTTATATATATGAAAAATAATATGCTTCTTGCTTTTTGTTATAAATTCATTTACAAACATATAAGTATACATTAACGTTTCATTAAATTTATTTATTCATTCTTCTCTCGATGCATACGTCTACCACCACGATCGGTTTAGTTATGCAGTGCAGCGGTGATGGCTTCATTGACATCTTTGTCTGTAGCATTTTTGCAATGCCTTCGAACAGCAACTAAAATCGGTTTATTGTTAATTATTATTTTGTTGATACATAATAGTTTATTTATTAAGGGTTTGTCAAATTTATTAATAAGTATGAAATTTGACAAACGGTGAACTCTAAGGGGATACTTTACTTTATTGCAATAAACTTTACAAAAGATTTAAATATTTGTTTGAGCGTTTCACAGAACAACAGCAATTCATTTGTAACTCATCAGTCATGAAAATATTCAAAATGTTTCGTATATTTTCCACCTGCTGTTGCTAACCAGTTAATCTACATTCAGAAAAAGAAAGTGAACAATTTAAAAGTACACAAAGGTGTAAAATTACGTACATAAATATATATAAGTGGTTACTAAAAAATAAAATTTATATATGAATAAAAATTATATATAAATAAAATTTTATATTATATAAATAAAAGTTAAATATTCTAATATTTAATTTTTCAATAGATTTTTAACGGATGCAACCGGAGTTTTAATTTAAAAGTTTTTTAATAATATTTAAGTAAAATTTGCAATAAGTGAAGCCATTTCTTCATCCTGACATTGGAACAACACAGCATCTAACTCTTTTATGTTACTTGATTTCTTGAATAAACCTTCTTCATATGACCAATTGGCATACGCTCTGTCAGATGTTTAATCTCTTTAGTCGCAGAAGTTGCAGATTTTACTAAATCAAATCAAATCAAATTGTTATAAGTATTTAAATGAAAGACAAATTAATATTTGTACTTTAAAAGATTTTTCACCTTAAAGTAGGTTTTCAATGGAAGACAATCGGTATTCCATTGATTGTGTGATTGGTGTAAAGATGTGAGTGGAGTTTTCGGTGTGAGGGATTGCCAAGAACTCCTGAGATAATTCCAACAAAATATATTATAAATATATTAACATAAACAATTTAAAAAATAAAATTTTCTAGTTTAATTACATTTATGCATATTTTAATTTAATGATCATTAATTATAATTATTCTACTTAACAGCAAACTTATAATTACTGAAATAAAATTTACAAAAAGCTTACTGAAGGTAAATTTATTTCTTCAGGATCATTTGGTAATGACACGAAGCTTTGAGTAGACTTGCCTTGGTGTTGGATTTCTCGAAAGACATTCTAATCATTCATCAAATTTTAATATCTAATAATAACTTAAACAAATTTTAACTTAAAGTATTGCTATCAAGCAATTAAACATGTTTAATACTTACAGCATGGCGTGGTATTGGCAGTAATGGTTGGCTACTAGGTTTTGATGTCTAAAATAATTTTATATTAATTTTAAAATCTAGTAAAATTCTATCTAATTTAAGAAAATAAAAACTTACATTTGTTGATTGTAATCAATAAGTGTAAGTCCATGTTTAAATAAATATTTTCGTTTTCACATTTAAAATAATTATTTAAAATTTTTTTCATAAACTCGTTTACGCTTGTTTTTTATAAAATTACTTTATAAGCTTACAGAAATGACAGCTGGCTGAAGAGTGGCCCACATGTGGACTACATATACCTTTCTTGTCGGGGAGGGGGCCCCACACACCCCCGTTGGAGAGGTCCTGTATATAAGTAATATAGTTTTAAATATTCTTCTTTTAACAATATTCCGTTATATAATGTAAATCACACATAAAATCACATTAAAAAAACATAGTTTAGTAATGATAACAAATTGTACATTACAATAAGTAAAAGTCCTAACACACCTAGGCTTTTGTTTTTTATTTTATATATTTACACTTTTTTATTTATAAATATTTATTTTTATTGCTCAAACATACTTACAACAGTTATGAATTGAAAATTATCAAAACGGAAAGCCACACGATATCATAGAATATTATAGAGTTTACAATGCATTGCGATAAAATTATTACAGTTGGTTAAAATTCAAAATGAGGCAAGATCGTGAGTTTTATATGTATGGCCCATATGATAGCCACATCAAATTTGCACGTATTTATTTAAGAATTATGCCATATTAAGTGGAAGAGTTATGTGAACCGCATTATGTGTTCCACAAGTGGGCCACACTTATCTTCATCAAATACGTCATTCATCAACTGTAATATATTTGTGCACTTTTAATCCACACGAAAGCACTACGACCACATGTGGGCCACATATACCTTTCTTGTCGGGAGAGTAAGTTATGAGAACTGATGAAAAATTGTTGATTGACATGATATCGTGTGAAACGTCAAGTGATTTCAACCTAATTTGTAATAGCATATTATGCGTGTTATGCCTTGCAAAACCTTTTTGTTTTGTTTTGTTTTTTTTTGTTTTTTTGTTTTGTTTTTTATAACAATGTTTGAGATACAAAGATTTAAAAATCCTATTAAAACTAAAAATAAGATAAATAAAGATAATAATAAATGTAAGATTAAAAAATCCTTTTTCAAACTTAATAAATAAAAAATATTCAAATAGTTGATTTAATAAATAAAAAGAAAGCGGACACTCGCAGAAGAAATTAATTCTTCATCGTGAACCGCTCGTAATTTTAAAAATCTCATAAAAATGAAATATATGCTAAATACAGGGTCAAATGTATAAACATGGTTTACATAAATGGTCAAGTGTATAATGCACAATAAAAGTTTAAATGCATTTATATACATATTCAGTTGCATCACTGCATAAAAAATAAAAAAGTAAATTATTCAATGGTTAAAAATACAAAAATATATCATGAATAGACAAAATGATTTCTTTAAGGTGGCACACAACTGAAAACAAGTTTTTTTGTAAATAATTAAAATTTTGATTTTTTTTTTTTTTAATGACAATTAATTTATATTAAAATAAAATAAAAAACAGATAATTTTTTTTTTTATCAATTTTATTATCCATAATGGCCAGAAATGTGTTGTAAAACATGTGTTTTTAGTAAATCTTTAAAACCTAATAACTTAATTTTGCCTTAACAACTGAAACTAAAATTTTGAACATAGCTTCCTAATCATATTTCACCCTGCTTGACCGTGGGAATTTTTATGATTTAAATTATTTCATGAAATATTGCATTTCTAACAAAATCACCTAATATATATATGAAATATCAATAAATCCAGCACTATAAACATCAATATTTCACTTTCTATAAATTTTCATGAAAATTCTGAGGGTTAAATGAAGTATTATACTATGATAAACAAATTCTGAAAATTTTATTATGCAATTCTGTTTTAATAATGAGAAAATGTGTTTCAAAGTTTAAAAAAATACATATTGAGAAAAAAGCAAAAATAAGAAAAAAATGTATAAGAACATAAAAATTATCAAAAACACTCTTGCTCTAAAATAAAATTTTGAATTATGACTTTTAAAACGGAAAACTAACAAGAGTCTGCGTATAACAAATTAAAACCAAGTTTGTGATGGTGTTTTACTGTTTTGAATTCAGAAAAACTCCTAAGACTGATGGTTGCTAAGGCGTTGTTAGGGAATTTATATTCAAGTGTCATCTACTAAAATGATATTAAATCAACTTTTATATCATTTTTGAGACTAATTTTTTTTTTTTATATGTTCAAGGAATGGTTATAGAATCAAAATACCCAAAAATCTAAAAATTGATTTTTTTCAAAAAACTTGCTTTTTTTCAGTTGTGTGCCACCTTAAGCTGTCGATCATTACATTTTATTAACAAAATTAGAAAACTATGGTAATAAACATATAAATATTGCGTGGTTTAAAAGCTATTTGTCAAATAAAATACAAAACATTTCTTATAATAAAGGTACAACGACCAATATGAACATAACATTTTTCATATTGGTTGTTTTACCTTCATTATAAGAAATATATTGTTTCAGGGATCTATATTAGGACCACTCTTATTTCTCATTTTTATTAATGATTTAAGCAAAGTTTGTACTGAATTTGATACAATTTTTTTTGCAGATGACACAAATTTTGTTTGAATATTCTGCTTAAGTTATTAAACAAAGAGTTATTAAATCTTATTAAATGTAACCAAAACAAAATATACTTTTTCCATCGTTGACCGAGAAAAAATTCTTTTTAAACTTCCAAAACCTAGTATATTCAATCAGAACATAAAAAGAGAAACCACTTTAAAATTTCTTGGCGTGCTTCTTGATGAAAATGTGACGTGGAGAGATCACATACAATATCTCGAAAAAACAATCTCAAGGAACATAGACCCGCTTTGCAGAGCAAAGCCTTTTTTAAATATAACTTTCTTAAAGCTTTTATATTTCTCGTTCATTCATTGTCAACTTAGTTATGCAAACATTGCTTGATGCAGTACTGCATCAAGCAATGTACTGCAATGTACTGCAGTACAAGTAAAAATATTTAATAAACAAGCCCAGCGGGCACGGCAACGTCCATATGACGTCGAATGGACTAATTTTTAGGACGTCTGAAACGGCAACGCCAGATGACGTCTTTTTAAGACGTATTTATAGGACGGAATAAAGACGTTTTTTTTTAGACGTCTAAATTACGTGAATTTAGGACATTCAGAACTAGTGCTAAATATAAACGCCAAATGACGTCTTTAAATAACCTAATTTAGATGTTCTCATTTCGACGTCTAAAATACGTGTTTTTACATGGCTTTACTTAAACGTAAGGTTCAAATAAATGTTTTCACAAAACTTCTTGAGAATAAGAAAAAAAAAATAAATCGTTTAAATTTTTTAATAATATAATTGTGCTGAGTTTTATAAATTACAATTTTATAAACTTCTTTTTCTACTTGTTAAATTCCAAGAATCGAATGTTTGAACATTTGACGTCATTCACCTTCTTTTCGATCAAGTGCACTCTTTAAAATATTACAACCAGCATTTTAAAGTTTTTTTTTTTTCTGTAGGAATCAGGGGAGCAGTCTTAACACTAAAAAAATATAGTCAAGATAGGTATGTAAAAATAAAGAGGAAAGAAATAAATAACACACACACGCACGCACACAAACACATATATATATATATATATATATATATATATATATATATATATATATATATATATATATATATATATATATATATATATATATATATATATATATATATATATATATATATATATATATATATATAAATATATATATATATATATATATATATATATATATATATATATATATATATATATATATATATATATATATATATATATATATTATTTTAGAAACCTAACATCAAACATCAAAAATACGAATTTCTCAACACTAAATTTATTTTTTTAAAGAAATTTTTGACTGGATTGTTGTGACCAGCGTATATATTTATGTATATCAAGTATGCAATATAATTGCGGTATTAAAAATGCTCTATTTATAGTAAAATTATACTTACTTTGAAAGCATGCCCTTCTCAAATTCACTGCATGATCAGCTACCAAGATTTAATAACTTCTATTTCTAAATTCAAAAGATAACACTACTGTAATTGAATGGGACAATTTAGTGTAAGTTTTATTGGGCATAGAAGCAATTCATTAGTGTTTTACTTGATTCAAAAATTTTGTGTAAATTATGTTTATTTGTACAGTGAACATAATGTATATAATTACAGATTAAAATTTTTATGTAATTTATGATAGTAATTTACCCTTATAAAAAAAATTATTTTTCAAGAAATTATTTTTCAAAAAAAAAAAAACACATTCAAGAAACTTGGCAATAGAATCACACAAGTAAAGATCAAAACTATTCTTAACTTTAAACGTTTTTTATATTTGATTATTCTTAAGATAAGTAAATGTATGAAAGACTATATATTAGTTAATCAAAAAAAATATTTAAAAAAACTATTGCGATAACGATTGGCCTAAAAAAATTGAGTTTTATCTGAAATAAAGTTCACCAGCCATTGTGAGCCCCATGCTGTAGCAGAGGCAAGATCCTTTTCAAGCTCAGATAACCCCTCCAAGCAATCAATTGAGAATATCTGGAAGATCGTTAATGTAAATTAAAAAAAATATAGGGCTAGGGATATATATATATATATATATATATATATATATATATATATATATATATATATATATATATATATATATATATATATATATATATATATATATATATAACTAACTTAAAATTTTACTAACTACATCTTTCAAAAGGAAATTCTAAAATGTTCTTTTTTTCTAGCTGAATTGACTAGGTACCTAATTTGAGTATTGCGGAGTATTAAAAAAATTAATTTATAAAGATAAAAGGCCTAGATAGTTAAAATAACTTCCAAGATAGTTATTACAATAAAAAATATTACTTACATTAATCTTTGTAAAACTTTAAGATTTATCATTGACTTCATATATTTTCTTTAACTTTGTTTTAGGAAAAGCAAAAGTTTGAATCACAGTCTTTCAAATTTTGGAGGAGCTGAATGAATTAAAGAAGTTGTTATTAATAAAAATTCATAAGGCATATTACATAAAATAAACTATATTACATTAACCATTACATAAAATGAACTATAGCCAAAACCATTGTTTTATTTTTTTAAAACCAAAGGCAAAAATAAAAATGAACTTTAGGGTTAAATACATTTAATCAAATATAATTTCTTTAATTAAATACAAAAACTACAAACACATCAATTCTAGATTCCTAAATGCATATTTAAATAAATGCAATATGAGTTTTTGAAATACAAAACAAAAATGTAACATAATTTAACATAAATACAAACAAGTATTTGACTAAAGCATATATATCAACTGACACTTGGTGTAGTTGACAATCCTAAAAATAAAATCTAAATTAACAAGTAAATAAAATTTATGGATAAGTAAAAAATATTCTTACAAGTGTTATTTTTTGAGCATTAGCATTTATTTATTTTTTTTAATTTTTCTGTTCAACTTTAAATTGTATCTAATTGGTGTTTCACACTATCTATTTCTAAATTTTAACTAATACTACAAATTCTACTAATTTTAACTAATAATATATAATTAACTAATAATAACTAATAATTCTAAATTTTAACTAATTCTGCAAATTCTATATTTTAACAAAACTCATTTTTGTTTTATTTATTGACATATATTTGGTATTTTTAGCAAAAACAAAATCAGGGTTTACATTATTAAAACTGACACTAAAAATAAGGATTTTAAGGAGACATTTTTCTATTATTTAAAGAGATTTGGTCATGAAAGACAATTTTTCGAAAGAAAAAATAAGAATCTTATTTTTTTCAATAAATTTTGAATAAATCAGAAAAATTATTATAAATTAACATATTACTTATATATATATCTATATATCTATCTATATATATATATATATATATATATATATATATATATATATATATATATATATATATATATATATATATATATATATATATACATATATATATATATATATATATATATATATATAACCCTCGGAATTAGGGTCGGCATACAACAATGCCAACCTAAAAGTGTTTGAGGTCGACAAATAATGCTGACCTTGTTTCTATATTTAATGATAAGACTTTTGAATTAATTTTTTTTTTTACTTTTTTAATTGATGTCGACAAATTATTGCCAATCTCTTATGTGTGTGTGTGTGTGTGTGTGTGTGTGTGTGTGTGTGTGTGTGTGTGTGTGTGTGTATATATATATATATATATATATATATATATATATACACATATATATACAATAGAAATGTAGGTTTGCAATCTATCACAGGACTATATAATTTCTTTATTAATAAGTATAATCCATTCACTTAAATAAAATTTCCTAGATGATAAAAAAAAAATAAGGAGAAATTAAGGAGAGTTTCTCATCCGTTACTTAGTAAATTGCCAATAACATTCTAACAAGTGATATAGTGGTTATTCATATGTTAGCCACTTTTGGCTGCTGCCACTAATGGGCCATTAAGTAAATGATGACCAAAACTGCAATTACCTAAAATGCCTATATAGCTCCACTGAAATTCTGATTTAAATGTTTTTGCTATGTTATATATTTTTTTACTAAATACTAAAACTAAAACCATAAATTTTCAAAAAATCATTTCAAAAAATTATTAAATCAACTCCATCTTTAAATATAATTTTCTTATTCTTATTTAAGTTGGATAAGTTACTAAAATAAAATTTTATGAAATAATAAATATAAATATTGATTTTAAAATTATTCATATTGAACTTTAAAATAATGATAAAAGAGAAAAATTATTTACATCTATCTTCTAAAGGATACTTTTAGAAAATCAGATAATAAAAGAGTAGAATAAGTCACTCAAAAATGTCTAATAAAAAAAATTAAACAATAAAGTTATAAAAGAGACAGGTGGGTAGAAAATTTCCTTTAGAGTAAAGGAAATTTTCTACCGTCCTGTCTCTTATATAACTGTTACGACTGGTTGAATTTTTTACAATTAGATTTATTTTTTAGTGAAAACCTTTGAACTTCACTAATAACTAATTACTAAAGTTGAGTAATTAGTCATTAGCGACGTTCCAAATCTTGATGTTGTAATATTTCAAAAAGTTCATTAACTAATGTACTGGTCCAATTATTTCGAATAGCACAGTCTAACAGTTGTTAATTAAAGATATTGAATTATATTAAATTATCAGCATAAACTCTCTGTATTATTAATAGGTTTTCGTTTTGAAAAATATGACTATGCATGAGATTTTGCAATGTCTAAGTCTTTCAAACAGTCAGAACTTAGTTCTTGATATAGTATATCAACTATTATACTTGAAATACTATATCAAGTGCAAAGTATATACTTAGTATATATATATAGTATAACATATACCCAGTTTTTAACTATTTCTTTCAATATCTGTATCAATTTCAATATCTGTATCAATATTAACACGATTAAGTAATTAAATGTTTAAAAATATATATATAAATTAGCAAGAACCTGTCTATAAGTCTCTTTTCATTAGGTGTTTTTAAAATTCTCTTTGCATCTTTGGGAAGTTCCAAACTTTGATTTGGCAATATTTCAAGAAGACCATTAACTTATGTACTGGTCCTATTATAGAATAGCACAATGTTGTCGAGTAAAGACATTGAATTCAAAGAATTATCAGGATAATTGTTCCATGTATCATTAACAGGTTTTCCTATTGAAAAATTCGATTCTGCATGAGATGTTTAAATCTTTGAAATTGTTAGAACTTGGTTCGTGATATAGCAATACTATACTTAGTATAGTATTGCTATATCACGAACCAAGTTCTAACAATTTCAAAGAAATTGTTGTAATATTGATACAAGTAATGAAATTTTTATAGATAATGAAAGAAACGGTTTAAAACTGAATATGCTATATATATAAATTTATATATATAAATTTGAAATATATATATAAATTTGAAATATATATATAAATTTGAAAGAAATTGTGGTAATATTGATACAAGTAATGAAATTTTTATAGATAATGAAAGAAACGGTTTAAAACTGAATATGCTATACTATGTATATATATACTTGATATACTATTAGTATAATACTAATAGTATATCAAGTATATATATACATAGTATAGCATATTCAGTTTTAAACCGTTTCTTTCATTATCTATAAAAATTTCATTACTTGTATCAATATTACCACAATTTTCAAGTAATTGATAACAAAAATAAAAATTAGATGGAACGTGTCTATTAGTCGTTGTAAAAAGACTTTCTTTTGTAATTGAAAAGAAAACTTTATTAAAAATGCGTTACTCAAGAATTTTAGAAAGTTTTTGCGCTTGCGTGATTTAACTGATTTTTTTTGATTTATAAAGCATTCTGGATATTTTTTGGACAAAAAAATTATTGGACGCGAAAAAGACGTTCAAAAGGCGCTTAAAACTTTAATGGGACGGACGGACGCGATTTGAACGTCCTAAGTGGGCACAGGACGTCTTTTTTACGTCCTGTGCCCACTGGGAAAGCATGCAATCAGGATCATTTCTAATGCGGGCCGTTATGCACACTCCCAAGCATTACTTGTTAATTTAAATATAACAAATGTTTATCAATTAAATTTCTATCAAACTCTTATATTAATGTTCAAAATTGATAAAAATGCATATCCTAAAATATTTTACCCATTATTCAAAATAAATCAGAATAGATATCTAACCAGATTTTCAAATAACAGTTGTATTCAACTCAAAAGTTATCTTGCGGCGACTGAATTTTCAAATATTAAAAAATATTTACGTAGAATTGTTTTATGTTCATTAGTTAATATTTTATATTAATATTTTATATTAACTAATGAACTTAAAACAATTCTACGCTTAATGAGTTTAAGAACAAATTGAAGCAAAAACTACTGATGAACGATGTAGCGCTCAGCTTGAAGTTTTAATGATTGCTACTGTTAAACTTACCCAATAATTTATAAATATAAATAAATTATAAAGCTATAATTAACTTAATAACAAAATCATTATTTGTACTAATTCTTCTTTTTTTTTCTTCTCTTATTTTAATTTTTCTTAACCAATACAAAAACAAAAAGTTATAGTAGGACTTTAGGACCGATGATTTTTATTTTTTAAAGTCTTTAGAAAAACGTTTTAAATTACGTTTAAAACGTTTTTTAATTTTTGTTAAAAATAAATAAATAAAAACTTTTTCTTCAATAAAAGGTAACTCCATTCCAAAGAAAAATAAAAATGTTTTAAAACTATTATTTTCTAAATATAAGCTCGACGAAATAAAATACTTGTTTTTCCAAAATTAGTTTGAAAGATTGGTTGACAAATTAAGTTATCGTTTCTTAAATTGTCTTTATTTTCATCTTTTAACGTATATAAATTATGAAAAGAAACTGGGTTTGAGTTAGTTTTACATTTGTACATAAAACAAAGAATATTAAAAACATTTAGCTGATATATATCAAGATTTTTCCTTTCAAATAAGAAAGGCTTGGCATGAGTAAATCTATCTTTAAAATTAATAAGATGCGTCTAACTAATTTTAAGTCCGCTTGTCGACGAGCAACATGCTTTTGTTGACGATAAAGAGACCTAAGTTTGGATTTATTAGTACTACACCAAGTAATATTGGCATAGTTTAAATAACATTGGACAAAGGAGTAATATAATTTAGTTAAATTACGTTTATTTAAAGCACTTCTAGCTTTATACAATATTTCTATACTTTTTGCAACTTTATTGCAAAAGAATGTGATATTTCCAATTAAGCTTTTCATTGATATAGATACCCAAATAGTTTGTAATAATTATTCTTTTTTTAGAATTTTGTCTATAAAAAGTAATAGTAACTCACAATGTAGAAGTTTTTTTAGAAGATGAAAAAGTATTCAATTAATTTTTTTAAAATTAGGCGAAAGCTTGTTTATTTTAAACCATTCAGAAATTTTTTTAATTTGATATTCATATTTTGAAATAATGTTGTAATGTTGTTATCATATAAAAAGAGGTTGTGTCATCTGCAAACATGACAGCAATCAGGCTCGAAGCTTTTATGTAAATCACTGATGTAAATGAGAAATAAAAGGGGCCCAAGGAGAACACCACAGGTTGTATTTAATAGATTGGATGGCTCATTTATATTGCTATAAACAAACTGTTTATAGTAATTTAAAGTAATTTAGCATCACCAGCCTTGAAAATTAGAGTCACTTTAGCTATTTTTAAAAAATCAGGAAAAACGCCCTATTTTTTTGAACAATTTAAAACTTCAAAGAACACATTTTTTAGAGGTTCATAAACCTCAATAACAAATTACCATTTATATTATCATGGCCAATTAATTTATTACACCTAAGCATTTTAAAAGATTGCTCGAAATCTTCGTAAGATAATTCATAAGATTTTAGGACCGAAGTTATCGGAAAATCATACTAATCTTTTTTATTAGTCACAAGAGGAATTTTATTAGCTAGACTACGGCTAACAGAAACAAAAAAAAATTTTAATTCTAAAAAAAAATTTTTTAACTTATTACTGTTTGATCAGAGGAAAAATCATCATTTACTTTTTTTAAGTTTTGAGATTTTATTTTCTGTTTTTTAAGTTCTCTTAGAATTTCACATGTACGTTGACAATTATGCTTGTTCATATCAAATAAATTTGATTAGTACAATTTTTCTTAATTTTTCCTTTGTCATAATTTTTACAAAAAATCTCAATTTTGTTTGTTTTAGTTTTTAAGTATTTGATATATAATTTTTGCCTAATTTTTGAGAATCTTCTTCAATCTTTTGTGATCCATGGTGACATTAAACTCTTAATTTTTTTATTTAATTTATATTTTGGAAAGTTTTTGTCATATATTTCATAAAAAGTTTTAAAGAAATTGTCATAAATTTGATTAGCGTCTATAGATACTTTAATTTGATTCCAATAAAGAAGGCTGTCCCGAAGAGGTTTTTAATGGGGGTTGGGGGTGGGGGAAAGTGTTGTATATATTTTTTGTTACCTAAAGGCACCAAAAAAAAATAAAAAAAGGCCCTTAATATTTTAAATTTGCCAACTATAGTTCAAAACTTGCTAACTCACTTGCTTATAATGACAGTTTGGGAAGGAAGCTCTTTTAAAGATTTTAAATTCGCTGTGGTAAAAAAGCGTTTTGAAAAATTTGTTTCAGTAAGGATATTTTTAAAGTAGCTGAAGTTGAAGTTGAACTCTTGTTGGTTTATTAAATAAAGGAATTGCCCCAAGTTCAAATACATCATTATAAAATTTATTAATTCCACAAATGTGGTATTGAAAACTATCCAAATTAATGGCACCTATTAAAAAGAATAATTTTTTTTCTTGACTGCTTTTTCTTAAAATATCATTAATAAATATATTAAAATTTCCTGTTTGACCCAAGGGTGGGCGATAGCAACAACTTAAATTTTTGTTTTTGTAGTTATGATTTCAATTGTTAAAACCTCTTTGACGTCATCAGAATTACTCATAATATACCTCAAACTTTCTTTCATATAAATTATTAAACCACCGCCTCGCTTTTCCGCCACGCCTTCTATTTTTACGCTCTAAAGAAATTTTATTAAATCCTGGTAAACAGTAGGGATGTGACTTTGTCGTAAATTTTTTGTATCTCCAGTTTCCAATATAAAAAACAGATGAACTTTGTTTCGAAAGTAATTGAAAAGTCATTGGTTTTATTTAATTTTTGAAAAAGGCCACTCATTATGACCCTTGATTATACACTGGTTTTCATATGTCAATGAATTTTTTTTTATTCAAAAGTTTATCAAACTGGGTCGCAAAAGAACTAAAACTTCATAGAGATTTTAGAAATAGTAATGGTTCAAAAAAAAATTGCTAAAATGATTTTGAAAATTGCTAAAATGGTTTCAAATAAACAAATTGCTTAGATTTTATATACAAAAACAACAATTTTTAACTAAAAATTGAAAAGGTTGTTTTTTATCACATTTTGTTTGGGATCCAACTGTCAGTGTAGATGATTTTTTTCAAAAAATAAATAATACCTATTAATTTTCATTTACTTTCAAACCAAATTTCATCTGTTTATTATTTTGGAAACTGGAGTTACCAAAATGCCACGTCCCTAGTAAACAGTTGTTTCTGTTAGAAGCTACGTCAACTTCATCTAGAATCAAGTATTGCCTGATTAAGTTGGTATTAGGCTTTTACGGAGTTTAGCTCAGTCCAGGCCTATATCAGGCCTAATTAATTAAGTCAGAGAAATTATTTAATTGAAAGTAACTTATTAAAAGATAAAACTAGAATAAAAATACTTTCTATAATAATATTTTTAATATTAATATAGAAAAAATACTTCTTAAATACTTTTAAAGTATTTTTTATATCCAGTTTCGTTTTTCAGTTGTCACCCGTTATTAACTATATAAGTCTCCTTTAAAACACAAAAATAGTGAAATTATTTGAAGGTACTTCAAAATATGTTTACTCTAAATTATATACATTTTTTTGGTTCCCTGCGCACTGGTTTTCCACTGCGCAATCTTGCGTGTTAACGCATGCGTTTTGTTTTAATATTAAATGTAAACAATTACACATTACACACGCAATAAATTTGAATCTAAATTGGAATCATTAAATTTATATCTACTTCTTTTTTGGTATAGTGTTCACCTTGTTATGATTTATCTTTTTATTGAATGAATAATGAAATTAATAAAATAGAATCAACTTTAAAGAATTTTTTTTAGCTAGTTATTTTGATAAAATTTACTGTTATGTTTACATACACCTAGCAGATTTGTTTGGTCATTTAGTGAAAAAAAAGGCATTTTATAATTGACGGAATTTTTATAAATTTGGTATAAATAGACAAGTATTATTAAAGCTTTTTTTGTTTCCTCGTGGTTTTTTTACATAACTTTTTCATTACAGCTAAACTTAAACCCAGTTCAGCTGCAAGTTGTTAAGAACCCTTGTTGTAGTAGTTAAGTTTTTGTGTGTGTGTGTGTGTTTTTCATTTAGCTCTTTTTTCATTAGCTTTTTTTGTTTATACTTATAAAGTGATCTTTATTGTTTTCAACTCTATAATTTGATGAAATTGAATTTGCTAATTTTGTATTTTGTTATCTAAGGCATTTTATCTAATTTGTAAAATATTTTATAGTCTTGAATTCAGTCACATCTTCTATATTTTGATGTAATTAACAAAATTTTTAGCAAATATGCTCTATAAAGTGACAACACCTTAACTGTTTTTTAGACAAAAGAGTTAAAAAAGTATACAGTAAAATGAAAGTAGCAAATCAAGAATTGCACTATCATCATATAAAATCATCATACATCATATAAAATTAGAATTAAGAGTGTTATTAAAACTTAAAAAAATAATAAATTACTTTCTATAAAATTTTTATACTTGATTATATAGTTTAAATAGAAAAAAATAATTCTGCGATTGATGTAGTAGGAGTAATTGCTCAGTTTGTGAATAAAAATTTCAGAAAAACTTTTTCTGAAATTTTTATTCACATATCACATAATTATTTTTTTCTATTTAAACTATATAATCAAGTATACAAATTTTATAGAAAGTAATGTATTATTTTCTTTGTGTTTTAATAACACTCTTAATTCTAATTTTATATGATGTATGATGATTTTATGCGAGGATAGTGCAATTCTTGATTTACTACTTTCATTTTACTGTATATTTTTTTTATAACTCTATCATCTAAAAAACAGTTAAGGTGTTGTCACTTTATAGAGCATATTTGCTAAAACTTTTATTAATTGTATCTTTATTATACTAATTTTGATATTTGCTAATTATATCTTTATTATACTAATTATTATATTACAACAAATTTCTTTCATGCTTTAACTTTAAACTTTTCAGCAAAGCTGAACAATTATTTGGCGTTTTTCGGAGTTATTGTGCATGAATAAACTTTTAAGCACTTTTTGAAAAAGTGCTAAATAGAAAAAAAATAATTCTGCTTTTTAAAGTGAAATTTTATAAAAATTTCAAAAATAATAATCATTTTGTATGAATATTACTAGTTTAAATTTTATGGCCTAAAAACTATAATTTTTTGACAAAAAATTACAAGTACATATTTTTAAAGTTTTTTTTTTAAATAAACTTTTTTAATTTGTGTTTCCATAAATGGTTTTTATTAATTTTGAAATTTTCATAAAATTTCACTTCTTTTGAGACCCAACATAATATACTTTTGAAGAACTTTTTTTCTTCATAATATATTAGGACCCATTTGATGTTTAAGGGTGTTGAGCGACCCTTATATATATATATATATATATATATATATATATATATATATATATATATATATATATATATATATATATATATATATATATATATATATATATATATATATATATATATATATATATATATAAATCTTGTATAAGAGTGTATATGTTAAAAATATAAAACATCAATTTAAACGAGTTCTTTCAATACTATTGTTAATTTATTAGAAATTTTCGCTGGATTATTGTTACCAGCATCACCAGCTACAATATCGTAATTAAAAGTTACAATCATGACCGTTATAATAAATTTAAAAAATTAAACTTTGACTTCAGCGTTAGAAGGGGTTCTTTAATGCAAGAATGCAAAAATATGGAGTCCAAAATTTAGTTTTAACGTTTTGTCCATTATCTAAGTTTATTCCATAACCATAAATTGTAGAGCATTGATATTTTTGAATCTCTAATGCTTCACAAACTTTCCTATCAAATTTATTATGTTCTTCTTTAAGTGTTTTAACTTTATCCCAATTAATTTGTTCTCTACAGTCTTTTTTATGAAGAGCTATAGCCGACTGATAATACTTATCTTCCATCAAACATTTTTGGTGTTGTTGAGATCTTGTTCTAATTGGTAATTTTGTTTCACCAACATACACTTTAGAGCAATAGCATTCAATAAAATAAATTCAGGTTTACTGTTGTCCGGTAGCCTCAATTATATATATATATATATATATATATATATATATATATATATATATATATATATATATATATATATATATATATATATATATATATATATATATATCATATATATATATATATATATATATATATATATATATACATATATATATATATATATATATATATATATATATATATATATATATATATATATATATATATATATATATATATATATATATATATATATATATATATATATATATATATATATATATATATATATATATATATATATATATATATATATATATATATATATTAGGGTGATTCAGATTGTAATAGAAAAAAAAAATGTCACAAAAAACATTCTCCTCAAGGTTGTCTGTGTTCCTTTATCACCTAGGATCATGTGTACCAAAAATTAGACTAAAAGAAGCAATTTTAGGGGTTGCCATGTTTTATAAGATGAATTAACCATTGGTAAAATTTTGTGATTTTCTCAAATTTCGCAAATTTGTTTTTTCATTGTTTATTTATTTATAATTTAGAAATTGATAATATGGCAACCACTAGATCTTCTGCTGAGGTGTGGCTTGTGTCTCAGGCTCTTGGTCACTCGGTAAAAGATTTATCATTGTCGTACAGCACAATCCGCAGAAAAAGGCGATCTGTTAGTGAAGCGGTGACTACAGCTGACAAGGTTGATTTCTCTCCTGATGATCCACTTCTTCTGCATTGGGATGGAAAGCTCTTACCTGATATCACTGGTGGTCAAAAAAAAGTGGATAGAATTGCCATCCTTGTGACTGGTGGTGGGGTGGAAAAATTGCTGGGCGTTCCAAAGATTGATCGAGGTACAGGTGAGCAACAGGCTGATGCTTGCATGAAGGCTCTTAAAGACTGCAAATTGAAAGAACTTGTTCGGGGACTGGTTTTTGACACTACTTCATCTAACACTAGGTTGAACATTGGTGCCTGCACAATAATGGAGCAGAATCTTGACCGTAATCTTATATGGATAGCATGCAGGCGCCATATGTTTGAAGTCATGCTTTCCACCATTTTCACGACTGCATTTGGAACCAGTGGAGGACCTGAAGTTGGAATTTTTAACCGTTTCCAGAAACAATGGCCAGAAATCAACAAGGAGGTGTTCACTATAGGGAATAAAGAATTTTACAACTGCGATTTTTTTCTCAAACTCCGTGAAGAAATGGTAGAATATTATAGTGAAGCAATTAAAGGTCAACAACCCAGGGATGATTACTTAGAACTCTTGAATTTGTGCCTTATTTTTCTTGGAGGATCAACTACAACATCGGAGTTCAAAGTGAAGTTTCGGGCTCTAGGTGCAACACACAATGCACGTTGGATGGCAAAAGCTATATATTGTATAAAGATATATTTGTTTCAGGATCAATTTGTTATTACTGCAAAGGAAAAGAAAGGAATAACAGATATAAGTCTTTTTGTGGCATTTGTATACGGACAGTTTTGGAATGAAGCTCCGTTAGCTGAACGAGCACCATTCAATGATGCCAAGCTTCTTCAACGGATTCAAGAATATCCAAATCGTACGATTGCAATTAATGCAGCAAAAGCTTTTCATCACCAACATCTAATAGGATTGGCTTTCTTCGATTCCCGTATCGACAACAACACCAAGAGAGACATGGCAAACAACCTGAAACAACAGCCAAGGCAGAAATCTCTCAAAAGACTTGATGCTGCCACATTCGATTGTCACAGCCCATTGCCTTCTTTCGTCACACAACGCACCGCAGAACTTTTCGATCTAATTTTGAAAAATGGAAAAGAAAAAGCTGAATCATTTTTAATGAAAGAATCTTCAGAGTGGGAAATGGATTCAACATATCTTGAAATGAAGCACAAGGTTGGTCAAATGAAAGTCGTCAACGATTGCGCGGAACGAGGCATAGCACTTATAACATCCTTTAACTCAAGCGTTGCGAAAGATGAAAACCAAAAGCAGTTTCTTCTTAGATTGGTTGATCTTCACCGGAAGGAATTTCCAGTTGCATCAAAGTCTACCCTGATGAAGATGACTGTTGAATGATAAAGATCATTGATTTATTATTGCCTAGTGCAATTACATAGTAGTACTATAGTATTGATTTTTTTAACATTGAACATCCACAATCCACCACATAATAATAAGAAATTGATAATAAATAATTCAGTAATATAATATAAAAAATGTAAAAATAAAAAATATTTTTTTTACTTTTTGTAACCTTATACCAAAATGTGACAAAACATGGCAACCCCTAAATATCATCCGATTTGATTCAAATTTTGGCCAATAACTACTATTGTCATATAGAACAAGGGCAAGCTTGAGGACAACAAAAGTTTTGAACCTACAAATTTTGCATCACCCTAATATATATATATATATATATATATATATATATATATATATATATATATATATATATATATATATATATATATATATTGTAAGCAAAAATATTAACAATACTAACTTTATTGTATCTATTGACTTTATATAATCCAAAATCAACAAATATTCTCTTATAAGTGTTTGATTAATAGTTGGTGTTTCAGTTTTACTAACCAATTATTGGTACTTTCCTCTAACAAGTAAACAGATTGAAACTATTAATAAAATGTTATCAAATATTATTTGATCAATATTAGGTGC